CCATGGCACTCTAGCCTGGGCAACAAAGTGAGACTCTGTCTCAAAAAAATAAAAACTTCAATACATGAGATGAAAAATACAGTGGAAGGATTAACCACAGGTTAGACATTGAAGAAGAAAAGATTAGTGAACTTGCCACAAAGATAAGTGAGAATTTTTTTTAAAAGGTCAACAGGAGTTAAAGACCAGCCTGAGCAAGAACAAGGCTCCATCTCTACTGAAAATAGAAAAAATTAGCCAGGCATGGTGGCATGTGCTTGTAGTCCCATCTACTCAGGAGGCTGAGGCAGGAGGATCACTTGAGCCCAGGAGTCTGAGGTTGCTGTGAGCTATGATGATGCCACTGCGCTCTAGCTCAGGTGACCAGAACGAGACTCTGTTTAAAAAAAAACAAGTAGTCAGTAGTCAGTATCAATATCTGTAAGCTTTGGAATAACTTTAAGGACCTAATATATGTGTAATGGAAGTTCATGTAAAGAGAGAGGTTGAGACAGAAAAAAAATATTTGAAGAAATAATGACAGAAAAAATTCTAAATTTGATGGAAACAGTAAACTCATAGATACAAAAAGCTCAGCAAAAACAAGAACATCAAGAAAACTAAACCAAAGCCAGTCATAATCCAATAGTGACAAACCAGTGATAAAGAGAAAATCTTAAAAGAAGCCAGGAGTGGGGGTGGAGGCAGTCAAGTTAGGAACAGAGGAACAAAGGAAAAACCGATTAAGAATAACAGCAGATTTCTTGTTAGAAATAATGCAAACAAGAAGACAGTTGAATCACATCTTTAAAGAACTGGAAGAAAATAAACTACCACCCTAGAATTTGATACCCAGTAAATATTTTCATTCAAAAATAAAGGTGAAATAAAGACTTTTGCCTACACACAAAAGGTGGAAGGACATATTACTAGCAGACCCACATTACAAGAAATGTTTAAAGAAAGTTTTTCAGGCAGAAGGAAAATGATACCAGATGGAAATCTGGATCTACACAAAGGGATGAAGAGCACTGAAAATAGTAACAAAATAGGTAGATGTATAAGATTTTGTCTTTAATATTCATATCTCTTTAAAAGATAATTGACTTCTTAACAATAAAAACAACAAAGTGTGGGGTTTATAACATATGTAAAAATAAAACGTACGACAATAATAGCACAAAGACTTTGAGGGGGGAAATGTAAGTATCCTATTTTAAGGTTCTTATACTATACCTGAAGTGGTATAATGTCATCTGAAGACAGTCTGCATCTTAAAGATGCACACTAAAGTTACAAATCACATTCAGAGAGTTATATCTAATAAGCCTACAGAAGAGACTAAGTAGCATCATAAAATACACAGTTAAACCAAAAGAAGCCAAAAAGAGAGGAAAGAGGGAAAAAAGAACAGATGGGACAAATAGCAAGATGATAGACTTAAATCTAACCATACCAATGACTGCATTAAATGTAAATGGTCTAAATATCACATTTAAAGAGCATATAAATCAGATCTTAATTTTACAATATACTGCATTTGCTGGTGCTATTTTTATACAATAAAGCAATAGCTTTGCAGTAAAATAAGAGAATTTATAATAAAACAATTTCATTAATCATGAAAAAAACAAGCAAACAAAAACACCATTGACCAATTAGACCTAATTGACATCTATAGAATACTACACCCAACAACAGCACAATATGCATTCTTCTCAAGTGCAAATGGTACATTTACCAATATATACTATATTCTGGGCTAAAAGTAAGTCTTAACCAATCTAGGATTCAAGTCATCTAAGGTAAGTTCTCTCACAACATGAAGACATTCCAAGAAAATAAAACTAAATCAATATTCCTCATGAACATTAATGGGAAAATTCTGATAAAAATTTTAGCAAACTGAATCAATATATAAAAAGGATAATACATCATGACTAAGTAAGGTTTATTCTGGGAATTTAAGGTTAGTTTAACATAAGAAAATCAATGAGTATAATCTGCCATATTAACAAAGGAAAAGAGAAAAACCATGTGTTTATCTTATAAATGCATAAAGGGCATTTGAAAATCCAACATCCATTCCTCATAATAACTCTTAGAAAACTAGAAATAGAAATTTCTCAATTTAATAAAGGTTATTCTTGGAAAACCTACAGTAAACATTATGCCTAATGGTAAAATACTAAATGCTTTACCCCTAAAGTCAGGAACAAGACAAGAATATCTGCTCTCACCACTTCTATTCAAAATTGTACTGGAGGTTAAGCCAGTACAAAAAGACAAGAAAAGAAATAAAAGGCATCCA